AGGGCCGTAGTGCGGTAGTGACACTTTTCCGGACATGGGTCCCTATACTCAAATGTTTTCTACTGTTGCACTGAATAACCCCTAGAAGTTTGATCCCATAGTTCTGAAACACCCTGTATATTGCTACGGATAACACCGTAAGCGCGCAAAGCGCACTAGGCTGTCTTACGCGCGTAAGACAGCCTGATGCATGCTTATTCGCTAATCTTTGTTAATTAAAATCTCGGTAACTATTGCGAATCTAGCAAAATGGTATAGGACTTTTTGACTCAGTTTTACTTTTTCTATTTGTTCACGAGAGATGTTACACCAATTCTGAGACACTCTATATATATACAAGATGAGACAGTTAAAACAGACCACCTGAATAACTTGGAAACTATAAGTTTTATAGAAAAATGTTTAACACATAAGTTATACGGTTTTGAGAGGAAAACTGATAATTTTATCAATTTAATTATAGATGGCATCACTTTTGAGATTGCATTATGGCGGTCATTTTTTTAAATGGAAGTCGATTTTTTTAGAAACAAAAGTTGTAAGCAATAAGACAAATACAACGGAATTTTATTGCTTGAATGTGGATTATTTTTCACTGAGTTACAGCGTTCCAAAGTTTACGCACACTCACACATACATGCTAACACAGGCTATCTGAATAATTTGCTTAATATTTATCGTAGAAAAAAATAAAATCAAAGTTGCTTGGTTTTAAAAGAGGCATACTCTGATATTAATAGTTTTTTTTATAGGTAAAAGTGTAAAAGAGATCAAAATCATCTTCATATTTTTATATAGAATAATATGTTTTTTTCTTTACTTTTTGATAGAGCGTTTTAAGAAATGCAATGACTTAGTACAAGTGTGTAAAATGGTGACCTTGAACATTGATATATGCTCTAAAACGTTTCCTTACGGATAATACTGCATGGCAAATTTCATTCGGATCTATCACAGAGCAAACTCTTCTTATACATTTGTTCGAGGCGCGTTACTATTTGTAATATGCGGGCCTGGTTTAGTATATGCGCCGGAGCGCGGCGCCAGGATCGATAACGGCTCGGTACCGGCACGATTCGCGAAAAGTCTCTCTCTTCTCTCAGCCAGCCGGACGAGTTCGGGTTACCTTATAATCAGCTTGTAATAGTTAAGAAGTAAAATTCTGTGATAAAATTAAAGATGTGTTGAAATAACCCTCGAACTCCCCCATGAACCTTAACAACATTCTTGCATGTCATTTTTTGTCCATTTTTTTATTGGTATGTCACGGTATATTTGTTGTTTTAATTTTTCCCATAAATAGAAATCTAAAGGGGTCAAGTCTGAAGAACGTGCGTAATGTATTTTCTATTTTAGTTGACCTTTAATGATCATGAATGATTTTCAATTCTAGGTTAGGTTAGGTTAGGTTATTGCATTCGTCTTAAAATGCTTTATCAAAAAGTAAATAAAAAAACATCATTCTATTTAAAAATGTTTCCTCGCGTGAAGTCGAGAATGCTGCGAGGGAGAGGCGCCGAGAATAAATAACAATATGTTGTATTTCTTCCTCTTTTTTGAAGAATAAACCTCTTTTATTTTACAATGGTGTTATACACTCTTATTCACTCGTGATATTCTAAGTTTTTGCAAGCAAAGCTCTGTCGAGCAGAGTCTCCGGCCACAACACTATTTGGAATGATTCTGCCCGCACCTGCCTAGACATCGGCTTTTATTCCTCAGCTAATCATTAGCCGAGGAAAACCAGGCGATATCCGGTTCTCGAAAAGTGCAATGCAGACCATTGCATCTTTTCGGCCGCACACAGAGAAAACGGTTTCTTTATATTTAATAATCCGATTTTTTTGACTTATATTTGTTGCATTCAATCAACATAATTTTATACCAAACAACAATTTTGTTGAATGAAAATTATATTGTTACGTTAAAATAAATCAAATTATTTGACGGAAACAATACAAATGTTTGAAATAATTTATTCCAACGAAATAATATTTTATTTGGTTTTAATAAGCATTATTTAATGAAAAAAATCATTTTGTAACATAAATATAACATAATCATATTTGATTTAAATATAGCATTGTTTGAGACAAAACATTTCGCGTTGTAAAAATGTACTATAAATTATAAGAATAATAAAAAAATAATTAATAATAATAATAAGAGAAGTATTTTTATCCATTGTTGCAGATACATTGCACTGCAATAGTTTTAATAAAATATTAAATAAAATGCGTATAGGATAGCTTGAGAATAAGTACACAGAGAGAACGGTTTCTTTAGATTTAACAAATTTTGGTAAATCCAAACAAATTATTTCATTGAAATAGTCCAAACAACCTTGATTTTGAACTAAACATTCCGATTGTTTGAATTTCAAACAAAGTATTTTGTTAAGTCCTATACGCATTTTATTTAATATTTTATTAAAAATATTGCAGTGCAATGTATCTGCAACAATAGATAAAAATACTTCTCTTATTATTATTATTAATTATTTATTATTCTTATAATTTATAGTACATTTTTACAACGCGAAATGTTTTGTCTCAAACAATGCTATATTTAAATCAAATATGATTTATGTTATATTTATGTAACAAAATGATGTTTTTATTAAATAATGCTTATTAAAACCAAATAAAATATTATTTCGTTGGAATAAATTATTTCAAACATTTGTATTGTTTCCGTCAAATAATTTGATTTATTTTAACGTAACAATATAATTTTCATTAAACAAAATTGTTGTTTGGTATAAAATTATGTTGATTGAATGCAACAAATATGAGTCAAACAAATCGGATTATTAAATTTAAAGAAACCGTTTTCTCTCTCTCTCTTTCTCTCTTTGTGTGTGTGTGTGTGTGTGTGTGTACGTGAGTGTACGTGTGTGTACGTGTATGTACGTAAACTTTAGAACGCTGTAACTCAGTAAAAAATAATCCAAATTCAAAAAATAAAAATTCGTTGTATTTGTCTTATTGCCGCTTACAACTTTCGTTTCCAAAAAAATTGATTTCTATTTAAAAGAATGGCCGCTTTAATGCAATCTCAAAAGTGACGCTATCTGTAATTAAATTGATAAAGTTATCATTTTTCCCCTTCAAAACAGTATAAGTTCTCAGATAGCACACTGATGTTATAAAAACATATTAAAAATATAGGTATTGGACGTTTTGTACATATTTAAAATGTTTAGATGAGGTCCTCAAACATTTTTAGGATATTCTAAAGACGTCCAGTGTTACTTTCCTAGACGTTTTAAAATTGTCTATTTTAAACATGTACATAATGGACCACAAATGAACTTATTTTAAACGTTTTTTTAATTTAAATAGACATAAGATAGTAACAAATAAATCAAATTTACATTAAAAGTGAATAATATATTTAAAGGGAGAATGGGATCACGGCATTCAGCGATTACTTTAATTACATGAAAGAATGATATCTTTAATTATAATCTATATTTGGTAGTATACTGAGTTTTTTAAAACAAATATACTGCCAAGTACATGATTAGAGATATCATTCCTTAGAATAAACTAGAAGAAAGAATAGACTTACATAGTACAAAGATTAATATATATCATGAGATAAAATGAAAATGATAAAAGCAGATTCATTAGAATATATATCCTTATCTCGGAATACACAATTCCTAGTCAAAGTCACGGCTTCCATAGGCTTTTGCTTCTCTCGCAAAGGGGCAACGTGCCATTTAAGCGAAGAAGAAGAAGAAGGCGCTCATAATAAATCACATTGAAGAGGATACGCTTATAAACGAAGAGTCATTGAGCAAAAACATTAGCCGCGTTCAGTAGAACAATTGCTAGATCGTCTTTTCAACATTCGACGTTAACTTTTTGGTTCTAAAAATAAGAGCCAATCACGTCCGATTGCTAAGCAACTTGTTCTGCTAAACGCAACTATTAAAAAAAAAAAATTACATAAAATTAATCATCTTTTACTTTTAAGTTTTACAGTAATGTTCAGTTTAAAAAAAAGTTTATCTATATTTTGATTAACACTTAAGACTTTGAAATATATTCAATAAAAAGTTTTGATACACATATTGTGATATTTCTTTTAGTTTTATAAGGTGCATCCAGAAGCACGACCGCTCACTATAAGAATCACAGTCGATTGCTGCTTTGCCACTTAGTGAGCGGTCGTGCTTCTGGATGCATCCATAGATTTCAATTTTAATTACTTTGGTGGTGAGCAATAGAGCATGAAAGTGATAATCTTGCAACGCGGGTTCGTGTCCTGTCGTGATTTCTGTTCTTATTTTTTATTTCTTTTTTTATTTAAATTTGCTAATATTTTACACTAATTTTCGATTTTTACATAATTTTTTATTTATAATAAAATGTTAAAAAATTAGTAATTATATGTCGCTTTTATTTAACTTTTATTATAATTTTAATAACTTTAAAATATAAACAAATTTAAAATTATTGTAAAATAACAATAAAATCTTAAAAAAGAAATAGAAAAAAAATAAGAGTCACGACGGGACTGAAAAAATTAATAAAATCCTTAACTCTGTATGCTTAACCACTGCGCCATCTCAAATTAATTGAGATTTAGTTCTACAAAACTGAAGAATATTGCGTAGCATGTTTATCAAAATAAAACAGCTATAATATGAACATTTTTAAAACATCTAAATGTAAATATACTTAGTACGTCCAATAATGTACATTCTTAAAACATACATATAATGTTCGTGAACGTTTGGACTACATAAGACCCAAATTTGGACGTCCAATGGATGTTGTGTGCTGTTTGGGTTTTGTTAAACATTTTTCTAAAACCTTGTATTTCCCAAGTTATTAAGGTGGTCACTTATTTATTTACTCATTCATAATTTGTATCACTTAATCCGTCCATCATTTGTAGCACATAAATCACTGTCAATCACGATGAGTTTCGCCGCTCCTGTTTACCTCTTGTATCCGACTCATAGTGTCAACTATTTTTATTAGAAACTCAAAAAGTAAGCTTCAGACAAAATTTTGCCAAATAAAAAGTTGTCTTAGAATTTATTTTCAAGAATATATTTTCAAGGATAACGGGTTGTTCTGCATCAGTATATATTCTATCTCTATATATATTCCACAAACATTAAGCGTAAGGCTTTCATGACCGTTTAAATTTTGCGTCGTTAGTTTGACATATATAAATAATATAAATAATAAACATATGTATGTATAAAACTACATATATATGTGTGTATATATACGTGTGTATGTGTGTGTGTGTGTACATATTTAATGATTTAAATATCTATAATGTTTAGAAAAAGTACAGTATGTTCTATAAGTTTGGAAACATCTTACGTTTTACAGGCAAACAATCGCATGACAGCGATCTGTGCATGTTTTTGCTTTAGATACATTGTAAGACGTCTGAAATAATGATAAACATTTTTATCGAAGACACTAATAAGCTTGTATATGCCAAAAATATATCGGACAATCATTTCGTGGTATTAAA